CGATTCGCTCATTCATTAAAAAACGAAACAAAAACAAAACAGTTACTGAGCTTCTAGGACATTCCAGAGACTCTATGAGAATACAGCAATGAACAGAAATACACAAGCTCTCTCATGAAGCTGACATCCTACTAAAGGAGATGGAATAGAAAATGGGTCAGATATATAATAATATTTTGAATAACCCTAACTACCTTTTAAAAGCGCTTTCAAATGATCTCTTAGAATTTTCTTCCCTTGGCTAACTAATTCCAGTTACTCGACTCCAGTCGGCAAAGCCCTGCAAACACATTAGAAGCACAATGATGAGTGAGTGAGCAGACACCTTCTTACCTTAAGCTGGCGGCATATTTTCTTCAGCGCGTATGCTTCCTCCTCTGAATTGGGGATAAGTCTTATCACTTTATCACTGTAAGAAAGAGGAAGAAAAATGATATTTACCTCTCAAAAATAAAGATTTAGTCATCTTTATTTTTTTTTTATAAAACTTTAAAATAACTGCCTCTGCATTTAAGGAGAGAAAGAAGAAAACTCGGGACTGGCTAACAGGTACTTCATCCAGTTGTTACTCTCTGCTTGCATTAGTCTTTCCCCACCATCTTAAAACTTTGTTTTTTCATCAGCTTTTGAAGATTTCAAACTCACACTTAAGCGGAGACAGGCCAAAAACACAGGAACAGTGGCAATAGGGACAAGAACTTTCATGAATACCTCAGAGAAGATACCAAGAAAAAAACACTCTTAAAGGTGTGCCATGCAACACCGATGGCTGTAAAAATTTTAAAGTGATAACAATTGTAAGTCAGTTTTTGCAGCCATTCAATCTTTACCTGAAATATGATATGAAATCATATTTGAACACTCCCTCAGGGTCTTTCAGAAAAGATCCTGAATTGTTATAAGACTCGAGGTGTCACACTACCCTCCAGGGAGTTTTCTGTGGTGGTGACCTCTCCCTCAGGTGTGCCAGACAGGCATTATCATTTTCTAGTTATGTCACGATGAGGACAGGTTGGGAAGCACTGCTCTCGTACATAACAATCACAACTGTCAGTGTGTTTTGCATAGAGTAGCTACTTATATATTTATTAATGGACTGGCACACAGGACATCATTGAGAATACTTGGCTTCCAGAGTAAATGTAAGGAAAAATTTAAGTACAACGGAAATGAATATTTTTCATAATCCTCTGCAGTATTTTACAATGACCAAAGATAAAGTAGAATATCATCGATACCATAAAAAGCACAAAACAAAATCTCTAGCAGTTCACCCACAACTTCTCCTTCCAGCCGGAAAGGCGTGCCAGAATAAGGATGGAATTTGCATTTTCCCCCCATGGTTTTACTACTTGGATAATAGCAGTTTCCAGGGCGAGATAATAGTAATGGGGAGGGCATACGGAGGCTTCCAGATTTGTTGGACGATGATTTTCATTTCCAATTATTGTAGCTTTGTTATTTCAAATGATCCTGTTATACCTTCCTTAGGCCAATGAGTTAGAAGGCCCTTGGTTAGCTGATAATTTAATATTTTAGGCACTACTACCTCAACCTTGCTTTGTAGCTTCGGTTTTCCCAAAATAGCACAAAACGACCTTTCGGTATCTGTGTCACAAAGTCCCCGCCCCTCTATTTATTTATTTTTTTCTGGAAAGAATCAAAGGAAGTAGAGGAAAAAAATCACGAAGTCACTGTAATACAACTCTACATGTGACCTTTAAATTTAAACGTAATTACACCTTTTCTATTTTTCATTTCTGGTACGCAATTTGCTGACCTTTGTTTTTCCTGGATTCATCATATCCCAGCCTCTCCCACCTGACCTAATCTAATTCTTGGCAGAGAAAGACAACTCTGCCGGGTGACATGGTGGTTTCTGAGGGATGGTTCACTTGACAACTTTCTGAAAAACGCCTCCACTGGGGCCGTGGCAGCTTCTCAAGAGTGCAAAGAAAGCAATCAGCAGCTGTTTTACAACCGTGGGAAGATTAAAAATAAATTTAACCCTGAAAGTGATTGCTTAAACCCAGCTTTGTCATTTTTATTAAAAAATACCACTTTATCCCATCTAGTAGAAATTCTCAGGTGCAACTTGAGAACTGTGTTGATTACTGTTTGATTACATATAGAAGAACAGAGTAGAGGGAAAGCTATTTAGAACAACCCATGAAATGTCGTACTTTTCTATAAGCCAGTAAATTATGGTCATAGACTAACCAGTTACAAAAAACCAATGACAGCTCTTCATTCAGCATGTAAAACCAAATGACCCTCAACTGCCCCAATTTGTCTTGCCAAACAGAAACCTTACTCTTCCTAGATTTGATGGCGAGTCTTTTTAAAGTGGTGAACAATAATTCAGTACTTCAGACAGGAAGGTATCAGGTAGTGAAGTAGCTGCTGGAATTTAGAAGAACTAGCTACGCACGGCTATCAAAGAAGGTGAACCGAGAGGCTTTCTTTATAACTTAACCAGTTTTTTCAACCACTAAGTTGCAACATCAGTTTGAGACCCCTTGACTACCCTTTGGGATTGAGGGAATCAAAGATCTGAATATGAGCTGTGGTTAGAGACACACACCACTGGGCAACCAGCTGCTCATGTGAATGTGTTTGTAAATTAGATATTTCTAACTCATACGGCTTATACGAAGTTGTCAGAGAAAAACAGAACAGGCATTTTTAATTAGAGTTTAAAGATGTCGTATAGAGGCAGGATTGCCCAGATGACTCATTTCCCAGTAATTATACATATGTATTCACTCACTGTATGCTTAGATTTTTGTCCCCTTGCTTTATGGGACAAATGAGGTAGTGTTTCTATAATGCTAGCAAGTTGGGTTTTAAGTTTGATTACTAATCCTTATGTACAGTAGCAACCACGTGGATGAGGTAATATTAATCAATTTAAAAAGTATTATTAGATGTGTAATGAGAATGTATGCACACAGAGAAAAGAATTCAGCAAGAAAACACCATCTTTAGCTTTCGACCATCTGTCTGGGCCTCAGTGTCCCTATTGAAGGAGTGAGGGGCAACCTCCCAGTCACCTTTTCATTTTAAAGTTCTAAGAGGATGTTGTTCGAGTTTGATGACGACCAGGTGCCTCGACTGCATGACACCCTAAGGAAGAACATCTCTGTTTGTGGGTGACACTAGAATCCCCCTCAGCCTCCTCTTGAGAGACGTAGATGAGAAACTCCAAATTTTCCCTCTGTCTCCTGGCATGACCTTTCACACTTGATTTCATTATTAAACGAAAGTTCTTTGCAAGTTACAAAACTAATTTATGAATCCATGCTTGTAAAAATAAAAATATTACAGAGGATATGAAATAATAAAGTTCCCCTACTGGCTCTCTTCCAACCTTGACCTTCCATCTTCTTTTAGTTGCCCCTGTTAATAGTTCCTTGGGATCCACTGGACTCCTTTCTTTGCATTTACACACACACACGCTCACACACAATAGTCTGTTTCCTGGCGTTTTAAAATACGAATTTGCTTTTATGTTTCACTTAATATGTTGGTTTTAAAATACTATTTTTTAAGTAAATAGCTAGACTCTACGTGCTAATATTTTATTTTGGAGTTCTAGGCCTATATTCATACAGAATTTTTTAAATACACTTTTTATAGACTTAAAAAAATTATGTTGTTTTTGAATTCTTTGCATGATTTTGGTATTAGCATTATGCTAGCTTCATCGAATTGGGAAATTTTGCATGTTTGTAATATGCTTTGAAAATTTTAATGACACAGAAATGATGTTTCTAATTATCTTGTAGAATATGTGGGATTTTCAAGGTAGGACCTCTTTTTTTGGGGGGGGGGTTTGGGGGTTTGATATCTATCTTCTTAATACTTCTGTGAATATTAGCCTATATGGTTTTTTTCCCCTGGCTTTTGGAGGTAATTTTGGTAATTTACACTTCCTGGAAAATCAGCCACTCACTTATGTAAAATATATTAATAGAAACTATTAGCAGATATTATAATTTAAGACATCTTATCTTTATCTGTAGCTTTGTCACTTTTTTGTATTCTAATTTTTTTAAAAAAGTACGTAATCACTTTCCAAAATCTTTTAAAATTTCATTTGTTTTTATTTATCAATTGTTTCTTTGTGTGTGTGTGTGTGTGTGTGTGTGTATATATATATCTCATTAATTTCTGTCTCTATTAATTCTGTATTTATTTTTTTAGGTCTAATTTGTTATTCATGTTTTAATATGTGGTACTCTAGTTAATATTCAGGTATAATAGTTGACTGATTTCAGTTTTTAGTTCCTCTTTACCAAAATTATTTTGAATAATGTTAAAAATTCTATATATATTAAACATGGTGAATTGTTATTTAGATCTCTGTACTTAATTTTTGTCCACTAAATTTGATGATTTTTGATAGAATTTTATTTAATGCACCTAATGTAACTTTGGATTTGTCAACTTATCTTTGAGTTTAAAAACTTTTATTCATGTATTTATGATATGTAGCTATATATGTGCTTACGACTACTATATCTTCTGGATGGAAAAAACTTTTATTCAAAACAAGGTCCTTATAAAAATCCTTCTTTGGTCATTTAATGCTCTTTATTTTGAATTCCATTTTTCTCAATATGATTGCCACTTCTGCTTTTTTGTTGTTTGGCTGGCACAGTTTTCCCTGTCTCTTATGCGTTTTTTTCCCCTAAAGATACGTCTTATGATTGCAACATCATAATGCTGATTAAATTTTTTAAAATCCGATAAGAGACTGACTTTGCACTGGAGAATTTTACTTATTCACATGCATTATAATATCTAATATGCGTGGTTTTATTCTTACAACTTTTTGTTCTGTTTTTTATTTGTTGTGGGTTTTTGTTGCCTGTGTCCAAGTGTGGATATCTGAGTTGTTTCTCTTCAAAATTCATACATTGAAGTCTTAACGGTATCTCAGACTGTGACTGTATTTGGAAATAGTATCTTTGAAGAGGTAATTAAGTTAAAATGAGGTCATTAGGGGAGGCCCTAATCCTACATGACTGGTTGGTTATCTTGATAAGAGGAGGAAGGCAGAAGGGAGGTCTATGGAAAGACACGGGAAAGACAAGACAGCCATCTACGAGCCAAGGAGAGATGCCTCAGAAGCAGCCAGTCCTGCAGGCACCTTGCTCTCAGACACCTAGTACCAGAACTGTGAGAAACAACTTGGTTTAAGTCACCCAATCTGTGGCACTTTGTTAGAACGGCCCTAGCAAACTAACACATACCCTGAAGATTGCAGTTTACAGGTTATGTCCCTAGGGAGCTACTCCTTGATATCTGGATGATTTTAGTCACTTTATTCCTAGATTCTCCCAATATCCTATGCATTTTCTATCATAACCCTCATTGCACTCCCTGTAATTATTTGTTTAATGC